TGTTTGGGAGAAACGCCAGTCAGCTGCAAGAGCTCGAGAGAGAAAGTGCGGAAGTGAAACTGCCAGTCTGTCAGTCAAATACGAAGATACTGCAACCGGATGCCTTGCCGGATTTCTATGTAATGTTAAAGGGGAAAAGATAGAAAAAGTCGTTGAAAGCACATGATGAGACATCAACCAAGAGACCACGATGCATCATAATGAGGTTGGAGAGATTCACCGAAAAAGAGGGTCCTTTGCCGAATTTTCCATTCCCTCTAGGACATCCTGCTTAGGCGACATCGGAGAAAAACAGCAGCGTCCATCCCTTGAATTCTACGGTCTTACCAGCGATATTGCGCGGCTGTGAGAGGTGGTCACTCACAAAAGCCGAAAAAAGCCACCTATCAGTCACCGACAGAGGTATAGAAAGAAGAATGTTGGGAATCTCACGTCGCGACCACATCCCCAACAAGGTGATCAAACCGCGGACGCGAGTGACTGACGTAGTTGTCGAAAACAGAAAAAAGAAGTTACAGTGTGCCGGGCACGCAGCTCCACCCACCGACAGGATATGGCTCGCGACGATATTCTACTGGCACATTCAGATTAAGCCTCCTGGCCACCCACTATGACGTCAGGAACCACGAAGGCCTCGCTTGGGCGAGATTATGTCGTAGGTCCAAGTGAAGGCTGATTTCAGCCATTAATGCAAATATTCTGAAAGATTTTTTTGACCGGCATAAAACAGCATCAATTTACCAACAGATTGTTCCTCCAGATATACGGCCTGCAGAAATGACACAGTTTGCCGGAAATATATGGAGCTGTTTGAGGAGCATCAAAGTCCTCTTGAGCACCTTGGTTATATGGTTTACAAGAAGGCGTACTAAGTCACTGAGCCTGTTAAATCCGTCAGTATGCAGTAAAATATTTTTCCGTTGCGTTGGCGAAGGCATTGTTCCTAAAACGTGGTCAAGCATTCGCATAGCTCCTATTGCAAAAGCAGCTCATCCGAAATTTCCTGAATATTGAGCAGCGATAGCTGTTACCTCACCAGCATTCATGTGCTTAGAAAGATTCTGCTTATTTAGAATGTTGGAGGTCACAGATGCACACACTGACTTCTTAAAATTTGACTTCACTCTTTCGAGGCACGGTTCTGACCATCCTCATTAATTTGATTGCTGGTATTCTGGACAATGGCAAGACTATAGTACGACCGAAGTTAAAGCACTTCAGCTCAGCCTGCAACTCCATTGCATGAAATTGTTTGTTGCCAAGCTCGACGGTACCGGATTCAATCATATGCCTGCTGCGTTGCTAAGGACATGTTTTAGCGAGAGTCACCATCTTCCTGCCTTTACAGAAGGAGGCTATCTACTCAGGTTTCGAGTTGACGACACCAGTTCATGCAAGTATTGGTGTTTTAGCAGAACCCAACCTCGCTGATAGAATCATTGATTGGAAGCCTGTCAGTGGAAAGGTGGCAATCCTCTGACTGAAGGTACAATAGGCTAAAGCGTTGACCTTATTACAAGTCTATGCGTTAAATTTAAAAGGTGAATATAAATCCTTCCTGGAAGAAGTGGAGTGTACTCGGTATGAAGTGCCGAATATGGCGCCTCTCATTTTTTACGGATGATTTCAATGCACATGTTGGAGTACACAATGAAAGTGGAAAGGCGTGATTGGATAAAAATGACCCTAACGACCTCAACAATGACGGCTTGAAGTTTAGGCGGCTTTACTCAAGCAAGGATAGCGTTTTATGAACACCTCATTCTAGTGTCCAAACTTGCATCAGAATGCCTGGTACAGGGAGGCTTGTGCACAGAAGTCGATGATCGATTTGGCAGTCATATCGTTTGACTTACAGCGCCAAGAAATAAATATTAGCGCTAAGAGAGGAACAGAGCTGCCAGCCAAACATCACCTGTTGTAAACGAATGAGTGTAATCGAAAACCGGACGCAGAAGCAAACAAAGAATCAGATGGCACACATTGTCGTCTGCAGATGCGACGACGAGACTTAAAAACAGCAGGTCATGACAGTTTGAAGAAGTCCCAGTGGCGGCCACTGTGAAAACCGAGCGGAAGCTCTATAAGAGTCGCTTACTCAGGTTTGCCCTAGAATGATTTGTTTCCTAACGGTTTTGCCTGCCGCTCTGAGGTCAGAAACAAACTTCCTTGAAGAAAAGAGTCGTACAACCAGCTGTTATCGCGAAAAGGGCTACAATCAGGAGATGGCTTGAAAGCAAGCTACGAGCCTTCAGCTCGAAAAAGCGCGCAAGGAGGCAGCGAAAACAGTGGCCAAAGCGAAAGCTGATTCCTGGGAAAAGTTCATTGAGGTGCTGGAGTCGAATGTGCAAACAGCAAATGAGGTGTTCTAGCAGAACATCTGCCGCCTCTGAAATAGAAAGAAGGATAGTTCAAGAGTTCTGAATGTCCTCTTACGGAGAATGAGTACACTCCTCAGCGATGGACAGAGTGCTTTGAAGAACTCCATAACTCTGAACAACGGCAGGAAGACTCGCCTGAAGAACAGCAAGCAGCAGATATTAGTATTTCTACAGATGAATTCACAACAGCTGTAACAAGCTCGAAATGTTTCAAGGCTGCTGGAACCGATGAAATACACTCTGATATGCTTTAACGTTTAAGCGAATGGGGCATCATGTGATTACCACATGTCTGAGCAACTGCAATGAATAGGGCAAAGACACCGATGGACCGGAAAACTATGGTGTTAGTACCCTTGTTCAAGTAGGGACACCATTGGGACTGTTCCATTTATCATGACATTACCTCAGCATGAAGGTCTTAGGGAACGTTTACTCAAAGATGTTAGAAATTAGGTGACGCGGAAAAACTGACTCTGAAATCTAAGCAGAAAAATCTAAGAAGTGTTGCTTCAGATCAAGGTAAAGCACCTCTGAATTCGTGGGAGTTCGCTCATCCGGTA